TGGCCATGCCGCAATCCCTTCTCCTCCAGTCTCCTCCCGGGATCTTGGGCACACACGCACACGTGCCCAGTGCCCAGTGTGAGTTTAAACCACTGGGTCCAGGACTCAAACCACGGTCGACTACATGGGTTGACTACATAGCCATTACGCGAACTGCTGGTCCCAGGCCTGGTGTGTTTTAAGCCACCAATTCGGGACTCCATTTGTGGCCACAACACAATCCCTTCTCCAACCACAGTTGACTATGTGGGAGTCCAGTGACATAACCATTAAGCTATCTACTGGTCCCATAGCCCACTATTTTGAAAACTATTTACAAATAAAGCTATTTGTGGTAGCAGTAAGCTATCTACTGGTCCCATAGCCCACTATTTTAAAAACTTTATAAATAAAGCATTTTGTGGTAGCAGTTTTTTTCTTAAAATTTATTTTAAAATATATGTGAAAATAATATATATATATAATGTGGTTTTCAAATTATAATGTGCCTTTAAGAGTAGATTGGAGTAGATGGAATTTTTTTTCATGTAAGTGAGGGTCCAGATAACCTCAAAACTAGGTTTTAAATGTAATAAAAGTTATCTTTGCTAACTCTGCTTTGGACTATTAGGTAAACAAAATTAAATAATACCGTAATGGCAATAGAAATGGGAAAATTCACCTCTAGTGATCATGAAATTAATTTTTTTGATGTTTTGAAGAAAAGTATTATGTGTATGACTCATCTGTTGGACTGGGCTCTGAGACTGAAAACAAAGCCGATAGTTCCATAGAGGATCTGATAAAAATGTAGTATCATAGGGTAATTTACTAATGGGAGGAAGTTGAGCAGACCTCACATAGGGTCCCCTCACTCCGCTCCACCCTCTCTCCCACAGTGAGCTGGAATTCATAATGGAGCTGAATGATAGGGACAAACTTGGGGGAAACAAGCCATCCAGGGGAGATGGGACTGCCCCATGCTCAGGGTTCCTTGTTACTCGAGAGAGGGTAAATTTACTCCAGGGCAAGGTAGCTTTCCTGTTGTTATAAACCAGTGGCTCAAGCTGTTATTGCAGTGAGAGGGCATAATGACTGCCCTAGGTAAGAAATGAACTCAGCAGAAACTCCTGCTTGGGGCTAGTTTTCTAGGGTGCAGCAGAAGAGTAGAGGGTGACAAAGATGGCGTCTGTCTGGCTCACACATTCATTATTATTATTAAGAGGCTGATAAAGCCCTCCACAAACACCTCTACTTCTTTCAGGCAGAAACCCATCCCATTATACTGTACTTGCTACATTATTGCGTTGTCAGAAAAGTCATGACATGTTTTTCTATGCAAAAATGCATTATGACTTTTACGGCAACTCAGTGTAATGGTGGGCCTTAAAGTCATGGTGAGCTCTCATCACTTCACGGTAGTACAGGTTTTACTTACCCTCACCTTAGTATACAACCAAGCTTCGTGTATACGCCTAGCCCATGACCCAAGGATCTTGTTCTTCACAGGTAGTGCCCTACCGCCTCTAGCTGAACGCATCCATCTGCTCTCTTAAACATGCCTGCATGCTAAAGCAGTCCCCATCCTCACCCTCCCCTGGGCTTCTACTTCTTTGGACTTTTTTCTTAGGATTCTGTTGTATGAATGGACTTAACAGGAGAACTTGGTATTGTTCCTTTCTCTTGCCTTTCATTCCAGAGGGCAGACTTGCTTTTTTTTTTCTTCCCCCATGCATTCTCCAGAGCCAAAAACAGTGAGGGAGAAAGTGAGAAATCACCACGGGGCGGGGTGGGGGGATGGCCACACCACAATCCCTTCTCCTTCATTCTCCTCCTGGGACTTTGGGCACGCATGCACACGTGCCCAGCGAGATTGTCGAGCCGCCAGGCCCAGGACTCAAACCGTGGAGTGCAGATCCTTAACTACCACCCCACTTGCTGGGCCCCGGACTTGCTTTTTGAAAGCACTGAGAGCTTAGCTGTGGGCTTGTGGTAGGTTTCTATCTGGCACCAGTATGTGGCCTTCCCAGAACCTGCCACAGTGTTGGAGCCTCAGAACTGACCCACGAGTAGATCATTTATTACTTGATGAAGTTTATTTCAAATATTTGTGGTCAAATTGTAAAATACTGTCTTTTAGTTAATTTTTACAAGTTAAATGTCTTCATAGGAAATTGGAAATAGATTTTAAATGTGTTCATATAACCTTGCAACTGGATCCAGTAACTGAATATTTTATTTTTAGGGTTTTTATAACATGCACCTCTGAGATTTTTTACCTGCAAATAACACTTTTTCATTTTTTAACAGATTACCAAAATCGAAAATGTCAATCATTTATGTGATTTGAGAGTTCTAAACCTTGCCAGGAATCTTTTAAGTCACGTTGATAATCTTAATGGTCTGGATTCACTAACTGAACTTAACCTACGACACAATCAAATCACTTTTGTGGTGAGTATTAAAGTTGAATTGATATGTACTTTCTGGCCTTTCTTTTGAGGAAACAGAACAAAGGTTATCTTATTGCCTTATGCAAAGTGAAAATCTAAGGTTGTGCATTTAGCTTTTTTCTGAATTTAAGTTGTGGATATAATTGTTAAGCTTTGTAATATGTTGATTAGAGAAATAGAACGCTATAAATAGGGGCCCGCAGGTGGCATGGTGGTTGAGGTGCTAAGGCTCCCAATGACTGCTGTTGAAGTCCCAGATCTGGTGGCTTCCTTCCTTTCTCACTTTTCCTCTCTGTCTCTCTCTGATCAAATTTAAATAATAGTAAATACAATTAAATAAATAATTCTTTTTTTAAAAAAGGATACATATAAAGTTAGAAATAGAGAAGCATTATCACTAAATTAGCTATTGTAAATGAATACTGAATCCTTTCCTGTTTTCTCATGGGTACAGATTTAATAAGAAAAGTTCTTGGCAACTAGAAGTTGAGGACTTCTTGTACCAAAGTGGAAAGGACACAGGAGAGGTTGGCGTGTGGAGACTTATTTAAGTATGAGAGCTTTGCGCTTTTAAAGGGGCAGCGTGGTATTGTGGGAAGAAGCGGTGAGTAGACCTGCGGAGGTCTAGTTCTCATCTCCACTCCACTTCTTGTTAGCTGTGTGGTCTTGGGTACATCACTTTAACTTTATGGGCCCACGTTTACTTTTTTCCAAACTGAGGGCTCAGACTGGATTGCCTAGGGCCTTTTTTGGTTTGTTGAATCTGAAAAAAAGACAAAAAGTTGGTGGAGAACTGGCAGATGAACAGAAAAAGAGTTTGTCGGGCCAAACTATACAGAGAGGGGACTCTAGAACCTTGAGACCAACTTGGTTAGATTTATGGTTTTGCCAGCAACTAAATAGCATCCTGATGCTGAAGTATTTTGTATTTGTACATATGTGAAGAACACTAGAAATAGAGCTTTTAGCTATATGATATGATAGAGGCCAAGAAGATGTCTAATAATTTATAAAGAAAAGAATTGTGGGACCAGCAGTTAGCGTTATGGCTATGTCACTGGACTCCCATGTAGCAGACCGCTGTTTGAATCCTGGACCCGGTGGCTTAAACTCACACCGGGCGCGTGTGTGTGTGCGTGCCCAAGATCCCGAGAGGAGAATGGAGGAGAAGGGATTGCAGCATGGCCATCCCCCCAGGGGGAGTGGTTTCTCGTTTTCTCTCTTTGTGTGTCTCTCTGTCTCTCTGGCGAGCACACGTGCCCTATAGCAAAAACCTCTCAAAAAATTTTTGTTTTTTTAATAAATTTCCTTTGTAGAGAAAACTGTATTAGGTTCTCTCTGGTACCATTTGAGCATTTTAAAGGTGTAGTCTCACTCTACACTTTCAAGACACTGAGTTTCTCAGTAAAGAATTCAGTTTACTGTAAGTAGTACACTTGAGAAGGTTGGAGCAGGCCGTGCCTTATCTCCGGCCCTCATTGCACAGATTTGTTTCATTTTGAAATGTTCCCAGAAAACGCTGAGGCAGGTGATGCTCATATCTTTTAGGGGGTTAGGGTAATTTCAAAACTTTCTCTAAGACATGGATTTATTCTAGAATTTCTAAATTCTGTCAAGCCTGCCCCAGATTGGCCTTAATCTTTGGAACTGGACTGTCTAGTGTAAGAGACACCCAGACTAAGTTCATCTGTTCATCTCCAAGAACAGCTCGGTCAGCACTTACTGTGTCCTCAGGATGCCAGGTCTGGGAAAAAGCCAAAGCTTTTGGTACAGTGGGGAACTTAACTGTGTTGGTCCTAGCATATTCCTGCCCCAATTTTGGTTTTTGTTTGGAAAGTGCATAATGCATATCCAGGAAGTTGCTAACTGAATTTCTCATTGAGTATTATTTCCAATCATTACTGTTCTAGCTTAGGCGGTAGTGAATGTCTTATGGAAAAGGAATCGTGTTCATTTCTAAAAGTTAAAAAGAATGACTGATGTGTGATGCATGTAGCTTCATTGTCATAATGATAAGTATCATGTATATTAAAACCTGGAATTATAAATATACATGTAAGAATAAATAAGAAACTTTGTCCAACTCTTCTCACTTCTTTTTCTTTCTTTTTTTAAGAATAAATAAGAAACTTTGTCCAACTCTTACTTCTTTTTCTTTCTTTTTCTTGTTTAAGGTTTTTGTTATAGTGTGCATGCATTTATCAGAGAGACAGAGAAAGGGAAAGTGAAGAGTCACTCCCCAGAGGGGATGGCCAGGCTGCAATCCCTTCTCCTCCTAGGATTTTGGATATGCATGCACATGTGCCCAGTGTGATTTTCAAGCTTCTGGGTCCAGGACTTGGAACTATGGTCGGCCATGTGAGATCCTTTCCAAAACATCCTTTTCTTAAAATATCTAAGAGACTTTAAAATTTGGGGATACACACCCTCCGGTTCCCTTTCCCATCGGATCTGAACCTGGTCTTGGTGGTCGCACGAGGTGGGAGAGGAACACTGAAGCCGGCCTCTGGTGGTGTCGCCTGGCTGCACCCTGGGGCTGGTTTCAGACACACCTTCCCTGAAGACAGAGTGGTGCAGGGTAAGGTAGCCCGACCCCACAGGGCAACTCCTTTGTCTTCTAGGCCTGTGTTCCTGGGAGCCAGCTCTGCAGAGCTGGGAGACACAGGAAGAGCAGCACAAGGAAAAGTGGAATTCCTGGTGGCAACAGCTAATGTAGCTCTGAGTGGCCAATAACGAGTCTGGCAGTGAAAAAAAAAATTGGGGATACATTTTTTTCATTGTCTTCTGAGACACTTATTATTTTTGCTTTTGTATTGTTATTTATTATTTTGATTTTTCTCAATGGCCAGTAATCCTTACATGAAAGATCATGTCAAGTAATGTCTGTGTGCCCTGTGCAGCTGGATAGGTCTTCTTAACCATAGGAGCTCTCTCTGAAATGATCAGTAGGTTGTGTAAGTCGTCGAGTCCCACACTTTGGCAGCCGTCCTTTTAGGGCAGGTAGAAGGGAAGAGGCAGGCCCACTCTGTAATTGGCAGAATAAGGAAGACTTTCTTTTGGGAATAGAAGAACTGTTGTTTCTTTTGTGCCAGGTGGAACTGCCATTCCTTTTCCCCTCTGATTCTCTTAGAGCATTTTTAGCCATCTGCATAGATAAACACCCACACTCTCCATCCTCCCTTCAAAATTACTCTAGTTTGTTTGGAGAACGGTTCCTGGGGCTCTTTTTGGGCATTTCCTCTGCCGACTGCTCCACACGTGCTAGTGTGTAAGACAAGGGTGGGAGCAGGGTGGGTTTGTTGGTGTTCCAGGAATAGCAGCTAACTAGACAAACCGTAATTACACACCCACTTGATTGGCTGGCTAACCACAGCCCAGGCCTGCTCTTGACATGGAAGCGGCTCTGGCTGTGGGCGTAAGACGCCGCCTGGTCGCAGCGAGCTCTGTGCTTTGACTGCAACATCTCTCTTGCGACTCTGAGCTGCAGTTCTTTCTGCTCAGGGTTCTCTCCTAAAATCCTTCAGCTTTCCAGCGTCCCGAAATGCATTACAAATGCTGGTCTGTTAATAAGTATTTCGTTTTTAGATTTTCCATGTGTTTACTTATTTCATTGTATTTTTTATTACTTTACCCATTGAATCTTGGAAAGGAGATGACCTACTTTACCATCTGCAACAAAACCTGTGAAGTTTTGATGTAGAAAAATGATAATTCATTTGTTTATTCATTATTCTTTTTCTTAGAAATTCCATGGATTTCAAGCCAAAGATCTTTTTAGTTTTTAATGATATCTTTTGAAAACATTTAAAACATTTCAGGCATTCTCAAAAGAAAAAAAATTGTATTACTAACATTTACATACCTACCTCAGCCTAATAAATAGAAACCCTTCGAAACAGTTGAGGCCTCCTGTGTCAACCTCTCCATCACATCCCCTCTTTCCTTTGCAGTGGTCACCGTTCCAAATTTGGTGGTGTTTACTCTCATGTGTATCTGTTTCCTTTTCCTATATGTGTCTGTATCTTAAGTAATATGTAGTCATTGTTTTGTGTGCTTTTAAATGTTCTATAAAAGGTATCACTATACTGCACATATCTTCATATTGTGCCTTATATTTTAATTTGTTGTTATAGGGTGCACGTGCTCGCCAGAAAGAGACTGAGAAAGAAAAAGAAGGAGAAGGAAAGTGAGAAATCATCCCCTTGGGGATGGCCACTCTGCAGTCCCTTCTCCATTATCTTCTTGGGATTTGGAGCATGTATGCATACACTCTCAGTGTGATTTTCAGGCTGCTAAATAGGGATGAAGGGAGGGACGGAGAATTTGCTTTTCAATAAATTATGTTGGAATAATTGGTTATCCATAGCAGGGAAAAAAAAGAACTTGGATTTCACCTTCATGCCAAGGGCGAAAGTAAATTCAAAATAGATGAAACACCCAAATGAGAAAAATAACTTCAAAACTTTTGTTAGGTAGTATTGGAAATATCTCTTTGTACTCAGCCTATAGGAAAGGATTTTCAAACAAAAATCAGAAATGATAAAGAAAAGTATGGAGGGAACCAGCAGTTAGCATAATGGCTATGTTGCTGGACTTCACGTAGTCGACCGCGGTTCGTGTCCCGGACCCGGTGGCTAAAACCTCACGCCGGGCACGTGTGCATGCGTGCCCAAGATCCTGAGAAGAGTGGAGGAGAAGGGATTGTGGCGTGACCATCCCCCCTGGGGGGTGATTTCTCGCTTTCTGTCTGTCGGCGGTCTAGCAAGCGCATGGGCCCTATAGCGAAAAAAAAAAAAAAACTCAAAAAAAAAAAAGAAAAGTATGGATAATTTTTACTTCTGTTCCTCAAAAGCAGAAACATTAAGAAATACTACAGATGAATAGGATAAAACCAAAAAGGCTGTTATTAAAGTGGGGAAAGGATATGCTTCACAGTAGAGTTGATCTCAAGAGCCAAATAGAGAAAAGATGAGATATTCTATCTTCTGGTAATCTGAATTG